CGATCCTTGAATAATTTTGGGAGAAACTGAAGGAAAACTTATTACATTTTAATCTTTTTTTAAAAATTTAATTTCCTGCCATGACAGTTGAATGTTAAATGGGAACTATTAGTTATGGGCTAAAATGGGCTTTAAATGGAAAGGAAGGGAGCAGAGAAAGTAGCTGGTTTTCATTATTTCTGCTAATTTTATTATTACATTTTATATGGCAAGAAGAAGGGACGAAAAATAGAAACCCAGGACCTTCAGACTCAACAGCTTGCATGTCCCAAATCATCAGGCCTTTGAAGAGAGAATGATAGAGGGAAAAAGGTGAAGAGGGGAGGGGAAAAAAAAAACCCAAGGAGAAGAGCAAAGGTTCAGGTCGGTGGGATACCACTGCAGGGGCTGTGCTTCCGCTACAATTGGGATTGGGAAGCCTGGGTTTGTGTTCCCGTGGCTGTAAGGGAGGGAGAACGCGTGTATGGGCATAACGTGCTTTGGGTGGGTGGGAAGGAGCTGTCTGTCCCTTCGCTCATTTTATCAAATCTGTCAGCTCTTGTGTCTCTCATGGAAAGCTTACGGAGCTTTTAGGAAAATAAGTGTTTGGTCAAAGAGACGGTTCTGTGTCCACTAACAATGCCAAGAGTTTGCGCTTCATTTTAAACAACTGAACAAAATACTCTTCCCTCTAGTATTTCTAGGACCATTTAAAATCAAAACTAATAGAAATGCATTTGTATTTCTGTCTGAAAGGTGTCGGGGAACATTTTCTTATTCTGAAAGGTGATGGGAGCCGAGAGGGAAAGGGTTCTTTCGTGCTTGCTTTTTAATTTAGGCGAGTTGCCTTCACCTGGCTCACCATGCGATGCGGTAACCTTTGAGGCAAGGAGGTTTGGGACATGCAGGGTTGCAAAGGTGGGGCCAGGTCACAAAATGGGCTTGGGAGTATTGGTAGCTTCAAAGCATGCTCAAATACGTACATCTCAAAGATATTCTCAAATATCTTACAGGCGTTTTGTAAAGCATTCTGATTTTTCTTGATAAACATCTTTCACTAGGCTTTCTATTTGGGAAAAAGCATGTCTCTCTGGTTCTAGCTGCAAGCTGAAAGAAGAGAAGAATTTAGTGAGCTGCTCTGTTCCAGCCGTGCGATTGCTTATGCTTGCAGTGGAAATAATTGTGCAATGTAAAGAGCGGGCTCTGGCTCCACGAGAGCTAAAGATCTCGTCGCTGTCAAGACAACTCTTTACCGCTGACAGCAAGCAATAGCAGACGACCAAGCGTGCTTTTCCTTAGCACTCCACTCAGTTCTATTTGACACAAACATTTTTTTGGTCTGCTTGTTAGTTTTAAAGCCTGTCTTTTTTTAGGATCGTTTTCAGCATTGGCTTGAGCCCTCCCTAGCCCGAGTTAGCTTGGGTAACGCTCCGTGTCAGATACTTCTGTGCTTTTGTGCCTGAGTGAAAGGAAGGGGTGGCTTCAAGCTGTTCTGTGTCTGTTTAGAGCATGAATTAATCAATATGGTTAGAAGTGAAGTTCATTGTCTGCCAGCTTAACCATATTGTTAGCTGTTTTGGACCAGTAAGGCAGGATGTTAGCCCAGTGGAACTGGGAAGAGAAGTTCACCTTCAGGGCGGATTGGTTTGGTTTGGTTTTTTGTACAATTCTTTTATTTTAAGGTCAAGGGCAGGTAGGAATTAAAGTTAAAAGTATCGGTCTGGAAGTCAAGTGAGCAGCCACAGAAAAGCTGTGTACTTACTGCCCCGTTTGCGAAAGGCTTTGCTACCCAGCTCCTCCACAAACGCCGCGTTGAGTAATGCAGAATTGGAAATGCAGGCAGGAACCAAGGGTCAGAACGAAACTTGTCAGTCTATTTGCCCAAACTGGGCTTTTTCTGAACAAAATATTTATCGGTACTACTGCTTCTGAGAAGTAGAAGGGGTGACATTGGTCATAGTTCTTCAGCATAACAAACTTCAAGCATATTTTTAAGTTAAGACAGAAGTATAATAAATTTATCATAATCTCCAGTAATGCCTAGAGAAAATGTGATTTATTGCTGTTTTTATTGTCCGTTCAGTTGGATTTTCCTATCTGGATAGACCTGAGATTCATGATAAATTGTGTTATCTTACGTTAGGTGATATCTTTAGTAAGCTGCAGGTCACCACCGTGTCACGTTTGACAGAGGCGTTCAGACATACCAAGGGGGATCAGATGTTCCAGGCTGAGCCTGAGGTTGGGTTGATCCTCTCGTTAGCTCAGCAGATTAAACACAAGGTACTGTGCTGCCATCGAGATGACAGAAACGGCTTTATTTCCAAATCCCTTTCAAAAAAAAAAAGGGGGGTGGGGGTGGGTGTAAAAATGGCAATTCTCCCCTTCTGTTCTCATCCATTTGTATCTTAGTTTCAGAAGCTGTACAGTAATTCAAATAGAAACTGCAAAATAATCATTTTCAGGGTGCTGTATATAAACCCTGCAGATATTAAGAAGAGCTTGTTCATTCCTTCAAGTTCAGTCAGATGGTTTAATTTAAGACTGGGATCTTTTCCCTGTTCTTGCTTTTATTCTCATTTGTTCAGCGACTGATTATATAGCCAGTTATAGGCCACAATAACAAGCTACGCGGTATTTAATGAACTCTACGACAGCTATTAATGTTAGTGTGTATTAAGTGAAAACATTAAGAAGACTTTTTCAGCATTAGTTTGATCTTTTTTTATTTTTCAAAGTCCAGCCATTCTTTTTTTTTTTTTTTTAAGGTGATTTTAAACACGTATTAGACCGTGCACAGTAGACTGTGCATGGTGGGCAAATGGATGAAGAGAAGCCTAAAGAAGCAAAATGGTTCTTAGTTTTGAAAAATGGCCTTTTCCTGGCTTCCGAGCGTCCTAGCATGTTTTTTAGCTATAAGGAAAAATATAAAAGGCAGCACTTGGTAGAGAATAAACATATCGGTGCGACATTCAATTTAGAGCTGATCGCCTGGTTTGCAAAACCCAGACAGTTTGGCATAACGCTGGTGGCAATGGAGCTGCCTTGCTTGGCCCCGCACCCTCCGTTACTGAATACTGAAGCCTGTAGTCCCTGGGGTCTGCACAAACGGGATGCCACAAGGAAGGAAAAACCGTACCCACTGCGATTTTTATACTGTTTGATGTCTTATCTCTCCAATTTATCGATCTGGAAGCCAAGCGCAGCCTATGTAGCTGTCACTGCTGTAGTCCTGAATTGGGATTGGAGCACATTTAAGCTTAACTGAGTTGGGTTTAATCTGGGAAGTTGGGGGGAATGGAGCAGCAGGGATCAATCTACGACCTTGTCAATGGAAATTCGTAAATACCTGGGTTTGTCAGCCCCTGATGATGTTGGCATCTTGTCCATTTTACCTCTCTGAAAAATAGCTCAGCTACATCATTCCATTCTATAAAAACACTTCCCATTTTATTGTGAATGAAAGCTTAATTACAAATAGTTTATCCAGCAGGAAGACGCAATAGGAAAAGCACAACCCACTTGCATGAAACCGATAGGAAAGTGGAATTTGACAGCAAAAAGTATTTTATGCAGGTATTGCTGGGATTGGTTTTCTGTAGGCGGGGTGGTAAAGGTAGGTTATCGCTAGGAATCCAATAGGTTTGGGATAAGACACCGTAGAACAGAGTTATTTGGTCTTCTCCAGAGTGTGTGCTATAAACGGGAGTTCTCCAAGTGCAGGGGAAGGCATGCAGTTGAGCACGTACACTAAAACAGGGTAGCTGTTGTAAGTTTTAGGCTGCTTTGTTGTAAACCAGTTTGTATGTGAGAATGATGGGCTGGTTGAGTCGCTTGCAGTCGTTCTGAAGTTTGTAGTTCGGAAAGAAATGAGGAAAAAAAATACATTTAAGACCTGCAGGTAGTCAGTAGGACAGACTGCGATGTGGTTCCGGCTGTGTATCGGATAGTTCCAAAACAAATACTGTAGGGCGAGAGACTTTTGCTTACTCCTGTAAAATGTAGCATCCTTTTGCAGTTTGATGCTGACTGTATCTCGGAACACCCAAGATCCCTATAAAATCCTGACAACACCCCTCGAGGTCATTTATGGAGGTCACCTCTTTTTGCCTCCCACACTCCCTAGAGAAATTCTGGTCAACCCACTCCTTCATGGCCACCCACCCGCAGATCAGCTGAGAAATCATAGTTTGTTAAGAAAAACCCTTGTGAAGAATGTTATTTTTGTTCTTTGTTCTCTTTCCTTCGTTTGAAAGATGTCTTTTGTTTGCTGGGGTTCAAATACCATAGTTTAAAAATACATCACTGACGGCATATAGAAATTAAAACTGAGTATGTGTATTTTAGCTCAATTTAAAAAAAAATGAGACTGGGGACTCAGCATTGTTTACATCCATGGGTTTTATTCTGATTTGTGTTTCAAGAAGTAAATTAAAATTATTCTAAGCACAAAAACATTTTTAAGCAAGCACTTTTAGATGGACCAACTGTTCTTTGGGTTTGGAAGCCTATAGGGGACTTAATCTTCACCAGTCAAATGCTGATGTGTTTAGAGTAAGCATTAATTAATGATAATTCTTAAATCTCCACCTTCGTATGCGATAGGGATGTAAACACTACTGTAATAAATTGTCAGAAGTTGAATGCCTTTGGCCGTCAGAAGGCGTATCTTGGATCTGTGTCTGTTTATGTAACGGTACAAGCATTACTTGGGGATATCGTTGTGCGCTGTTGACGTTATCGTGCTCTTAGCGTAACCTGCTCAATCTCACTTAGGCTTTGCAATAATCATTAACAGAATTACGAATCTCATACGGCAAAATGCAGTGAGCATCTAGCATGGGAATCTTTCCATATGCGTCCCGTGTTCTCTCGGAAACACACATGATTTAAAGCAACAAGTTTTCTTGTGTTTCTTTTTAATGGTCTTTGGGTTTGCATCTGGTTTAAGTTAGATGGTTCATAATGCGTTTCTGATTGTGGTTGTTTACAAGCTGCTTTCTCCATTGCCTTCCCTGCAGGTGTTGCAGGGTGCTCAGCTGATAGCTGTTGCTTCTGCTGAGCCCGCGTCAGGGGGTGTTGATGGATCCCCGCTCCAAGGCAGTGATATCCAAGTCCAGTACGTGCAGCTGACACCAGTGACAGACCACTCTGCGACTAATCAAGTATGTACATATATTTTTTTGCCATTTGAATGTACTTAACTTGATCAAAACATCTGTCAGATGAACTATATATTTACCCACAAATACTGCGGTCCCAATGAGTTTATGATCCTGTTTCCAAACTGTAAAAAAAAAAAAAAATCTATAATAAGAAACATCACTTTGTTAAAGGTATAAATGGTCTTTGCCTATCCCTGCTTCTGTGGTCTTGCTCAATGCCTCTAGAGAATAGTTATTTTGGTCATCATTGTTTTTCTGCATCCTTGAAGACTGAGAGCTGTGGTGCAGGACAGGGCAGAAAACTTGCTTGGAATCTACCCAAAAAGTATTTTTCAGACTGAGGTTTCTCCTAAAAATGTTATCTATCCCCTTTCTGACAGCATTTTTCCAGTTATTTTGATCAACAGCCTGGGTTGCCTGCAGGAGTCGCAATGTTAGCAATCGTAAGTGAACACTTGATCCTCTCAGTTATGGTGGAGGAATTATCTTTTTTTTTTATTATTTGCCTTTTTAAATCAGTTTGAGCAGTCATGTATCCAAATCTAGAAAACATTTCTCACCAGCTTGAAGCTGTGACTGGTGACAACACAAGAATGCTGACTTAACACAGTTGTATGAAATTCTTCTGAAGATGGTTACACATTCCTCCGTGGACCCTGCTTAGTGGCCTTCTTTTCTAGAGGATGCCAAGTGGTTGTGAAAAATAAGCTGTTGCTTGCTAGCCAAAATAGAGCGGTACCCTTAGCAGCCAGTATTAGAGTGGATTTTTGCCCGACACGTACCTAGCTTTGTAGAGAATTCTGATCTGGCGACAAACATTTGGATATTGAGTATCTTGAGGGGGGAAGAAAAAAAAATGCGTAACAAATCAAGGGAATTGTGCCCAGACTTTGCGTGCACGAAACTCAAGTGCTTCTTCCATGGACAAGGCAACCTGCAGATCGGTTCGCTATGTGAAGCTGGAGCACGTTAGGTATCCCGGTGGCAAAGAGGGCCTCAAACAAAAGACAGAATTCGGCTGCGTGTTGCCGAAGTGCCGTCTGCGCTGGCTGGTGCAGGCAGGGAGGCCAGAGCTCTGAATTCTCATATTCGCCCCAGTCCACGCTGGCTCCCCACCTGCGAGCTCCAAAGGGCTTTTCGGAAAAATTATGCTCCCTGCCGAAAAGCATCAGACCGCCTGGCATGTGCGTACTGTAAGGTTATATTCTGGTTTTCTGTACGCGCATCTTCCCGTGTAGGTGAGTCCTTCAGCGTAGTTTTCCCCTCTTTTCTAGATCTGTCTCCACACTAACCTCAATATTTTTTATTCATAGTCACTTGTAATAGTACGCTGGACAGTGAGAGTGTTGCTACAGGGACCGGTGCCTTATTTCTTATAAATCCTCAAGTACTGCTGGTCCCATGCAATTAATAAAGCATATTATATGTGTCAGGTAGTGAGAGGTGTTTCTCATGCTGCTGTCCTCACTCCGGGCCTGGGAAATTCTCAAATTTACCTCCCACGGACTTTCTTATGGGTCTGTTCTTCGTGCCTGTCCTCCCTTCTCAGCTACCACCTCTGATGGGCAGGAGGTTACCGAGTTCACGTATAAACATCGGCATCCATCTCCCACACAGCTGGCAGCCACCAGAGGAGTTACTTTTCTCTTCAGGGACACTTTGCACCGTGTTAGGTTTTAATATTGTGGTTAACCACAGAGATTTATACAAAGCTGAAGAGAAGCAGAAAAGGAATGTGAAATAAGAAGAGTATGAAAGGAAAAACAGACAAGACTAAAAATAAGTTTGCCATAAATATTTCCTCAGTTTACACAAACAAAAAACTAAGGGTCTGTTAACGGCTTGGAGAACCCAACTTGGTATTTGCATTGCTCTGAGTTAAACAGATAGCCCAGTAGCTTTTTTGGCTAAAATTATGGGATAGTCCCGCTCATCTTAGATCTCTTATCTGAAGGGAAAGTCTTATCTGAAGGGAAAACACTGTCAGTGAGGCTGTAGGGGTGCTTTTATCTGTTTTCATATGGTTCTTTGCCAAGGTACTGAGATGTTCTCAATGATTTTGAATCTATTTATCAATCAAAGCTTATAAAAGTGGAGTGTATTATCCACCTGGGCTGGATGCTACGCCCCGCACAAATTCCCTGTTTGAAACATCACAACAGCGAATTTATTTAATGTCCAAAACCAAGACACCAGTTTTCTGGCCTTTTTTCTTGAAAGCCATGCCTCTGGAAGCCATCAAATTAGAATGATTTATTTGAATAAATAAGTGGCCGTATAGTAAAACCTAAAGGATGGGAAATCCAGTTGAGTTTCCACCCTTGTGTCTGTGGATCACCTTGCAGATACTAGGCTGAGAGCATAAAGCAGGGCTTCAAGGAAGACTTTTATCATAACAGAAGTACTATCACAAAAATAAATCTGTATCTAGGGCGTTACATAAAGCATCTATTAGATGAATTTATGGAGGGGAAAATCCATCAAGGGCAGATCTCTGGAATCTGTGGGAGTATGCAGGAAAGGATCATTAAATCCTTGCCCTTTTCTTGTAGTTTATCTATGCTTGTGATATTGGCTGCTATCAGGGGAAGGCTTATTGGGCGTGATGGACTTTATCCAAGCCAATACAGCTGTTCTTAAATGCTATTCATCTTATAGCTCTGAAGATGGAGCTTGTTGCATAAGCTGGTTTTCCTTACTCCAGCTAACTTGGCTAAAAAGGCAGTTTGCTATGGGATTACCCTTTCACAGCGTTGTCAGGCTACTGGTCGGCAGTAATTTAATTTTTAAGGAGACTTCCTTTCAAAGCCTAAGTCAATTGTGTTTAACTTTAAATTCTTTCACGGAGGACTGTTTTCACTTGGAAAAGGAGTAGAATCAGGCCCGTAGGAAGAATTTTGTTTGAAAAAAAAGTTCACTGTAGTAGCGCTGGTCTCATTTTACACAAAATAAAGACCGCGGTGGGTGAAGTCAGCAGTTTTAGACCGTATCCTGCACCAGCTGGGGAGATTCCAAGCACAGGGCAAACAGGTAATTTTACTTTCCTTACCTACAATAGTTCTGTCACTCCGGGACTTCCTACTGCTTTTTCTCTGATCACCCGTGGTGGATTTTCCTTCCATATCACTGCTCAGCTCCGCCTTGTACCCCCAAGCTGTCAGTACCTACATCGTGCGGGGACGAGTCCTTCCACAGCTTTGGCACATGCTGCGCCAGACACTGGTTTTATTTTGTTTCTTTTTAGAGCTGGTTCTTTCTTGGGAAGAGAGAGGGAATAATTGTTTTCTATCTGCTCTCTTCGTGCCACTTGTGATTTTATAGAACCTTATCATGATTTCGTTATTTTAGCCTTCTCTTTCCAGCCCGAAGGGCATTAGTCTACTTTGTCTTCGTGTGGACTCTTTATGTCCTTTTTGGTGCCTTTGTACGTGTATTCCCATTTCAACTCTCTCACGGAGCTGATACCCATGCAGATTTTGCACTGGTATATAGAAGAACTTTATGTTATTATAATTTGTGTGCATTCCCTTGGCTACCCTGATGGAAAGCACTTCTGTTCTGATTTACTGATTTCATGTTTCCTTTCACAGGGCACTGACACCCTTCAATCAGCGATCCAGCCAGAGATGCAGATAGAACACGGAGCAATCCAAATTCAATAAGAGAATTGCGAAAACTGTGTCAAGCGAGATGTCAGTGAAGCGCAGTCAGAAGTTAAGTGCTGTAGTCTTCGTGCAACAACAGGCGAAGGGAAATGCCTGTTAGACTATGGTCACACCTCGAACATCTCCCGCAAATAGCGGATGATCTGGTTGTCCTCACCTGGAATAAATCAGACCCGTTTATCTTAGATCGGAGCTGCATCACTACATCAGTTGAGAATCTGGCCTTCAGAAAAAATACACGGCCTGCCCTTAGGTACATTTAAAGAGAAAAAATTCTTTCAGAAAGAGGGAAAGAAATCTAATGAATCCAAACCGTGAGACTAAATTAATGTTTCATCCTGTTCATTTCTTCTGTGAAATACGCCATTTGAATGTCTGCAGGTATCCTAGAAAGTGTATTGCTGCTCTGCAATACTTGCTTTACCACATATAGAAGATCAAGAGCTCAAATATTTTTCACTGTTTAAACAGCTTTTTTTATTTGCTATGGTGTTTATAACAAAAAAGGAAAATATTTAAAAAAAGAAAAATCCCATAACTGCAAGTATTAGCCTTTTGCTGGTGTTTTCTGTTCAGTGTAATGAAAACTGTATTTGCAGAAGACTAACAATTTTGTTTGTACTGTTGCTTAACTACTTTTCTAGGGGAAAATGCTTTTAAATGCTGTAATTATGCATTTCTAATGAAAAATAAATGTGTATTTATGAATAGTGCAGCTCTAAGTTGCTCTCCGCCTTAGGAATGAACGCGGTTTGACTGGACTCTGCTGTAGTTCCGCAGTATTTGAAGACAGATGCTCTCTGGGAAGCCCTGCTGGCAAACTGAGAAGTAAGACTAAGTCTATAAGGAAGATACCAATCTTAGATCATGTCGTTATCTAAATTTCCAAGACAAATGTGATAGCTAAGCTTTCGATTCTGCAAATCCTATTTCAGACAATGAATTGATGAAATCAGTTTTTAAAAACGCGAATGATCCTTCTGAGCTCTGTCCCTTTTAGTGCCTCCCACCTCCTTTGTCTGGCCGTTTGTGGCAATGCCTCAGTTTGGGATTCATCCCTAAAAAGCTGGGCTGCAAAAGTCTCAAACCCATCTTGTTATCCAACCTGCAACAGCAGGATGAAATCCTCTCTCCACTGAAACTTATGGGAAGTTTGATACCGATTTCAAGAAAGCTGTGTTTTCATATTTGCTAAGCTCGAGTGGAAAGGGTACATCTTTGCTATAACCTGATTATCTTAATGGTGCGTGTTTTAGAGAAATAGAGTTTGCTGGGGGAGGCATTGCTTTGTAGCTGGTTTTCAGCTGACTTGCTATATGGTTATTGTCAATATATGGCTCATAATGCATTTAATGTATTAACGAATGGGGCATAGCCACAAATTCATGGCTGAATTCAGGATAACACCTTTTCTTTATGAAAGGAAGGGTTAAGCACACCCAATTTCTGGGAATGTTGTCCCTGGTAAGTATTACACTTTATGTAAATCCCTACTTCTCTTTAGGATATTTCTTGACGCACAAGCACAATGCAAACTAAACCACAGCTTATTGAAGACAATGTCTGCAACAGGCCAAGAATTTGGCTACACTTCAGTTTCTTTTTTTAATAGTGTTTCTCAGACTGGGTAATGTTTGAGGAGCTTGGCATCCAAATAGAAGCCTAAAAATAAAGCAAGGCCTGTACATTTTAGCATGGCTCTTGAATAATAATTTATCACTTGCAAAGGGCAGTGAAAAAGCTGGGATGGCAAAGCTGCTGTGTGCTACCACATACCACGCTCTTGCTGTATTCATATTGGCCACAGCAGCTTTCTGGTGTTCTTCAGAAAGTTTTACCCGGCTTTCCTTCTGTGTCCCGGGTATCTTCTGCTTTCAAGGGGAGCACGGGTGCATTTGAACTGTAGGGTGTCTGTCTGTGTTTTATGGTGCAATTAAGAATTCTGTTCTCTTTGCGTTTTTCAGCTCAGGTACAAGATGAAATTGAGTTCAGGAGAGGTTCCCTTTAGCCACTAGACTGCTGCATGCTCAAGTCTCTTCTGCTAAAAGTGACTGTAAAGGCATACCTTGCAGCGAAGTAGCATTCACTAGAGTTCAAGAGAATGAAAACTACTTCACCAGTGTGGAATGGAGAGTGTACAAATCAATTGAAATAAATAGGTAAGGAGAGCAGCTTGTTAAGACCCTCCGGTGCATTCAGATGTTAAGACTGCTTGTTCCTTGAGATGCAAATTTTTCTCGGTGTTACGTCAGTGTTTACTTTAGTCTAAGCTGTGTCGCGCTGTGTTTATACTTCAAAGAAAAGAGACTTCAACACTGAGCCAGGTATTCCTGTGAGTAATCCCGGTCCCTGTTCCCTTTCCGTAGATTTTGTGTCCTTGGAGGATTTATGTTCTTATCCAGGGAGGAAATGTCTTCTCTTCAGGAATGTTTCATGTGTTTTCTAGAAATCACAGGGTGTGTCATGTACAAATAAGTCATTCCTGAGAAGAGTCATTCAGGAATGAATTCCCTTCTAGGAAATGCTTGTGACTGCAAAGAGTCTGTGAGGCTCTGTGCAAATGTGCGGAGTGTGTCCCTACAGAGACTATCCTAACAGTAACATATCAACATAACAGTAAGAAATCCTAAAAGCATGATGAGATAACTCAAGGAATGAAAATCTTGCAGGGGGATGGAGAGTTTTGCCTGGCTCCCTGTTCAGGTAGGTTGATGGTGTTTCACCATGGGTGCAGTTCTGCCCTTGAAGACTGTTTGACCATTTCAGTAGGTCAGCTAGAAATGAGTTCTCGTTATGTCTCCTGTTGGTAAAAGGCCTTTTTAATAAGAAGGTTCTTTTCCCCTCAGCAAACCCTTCAAACAACCTCATTTTTAACTGTTCTTTTCCTCCTTGTGCTGCTGTTGTCCAAGAGGCAGAGGTGAAGAACGTATGACCAAGAGTCTGCAGGGGGACATTTCTTGTAAGGTTAGACTGGGATCAGCTGCTGATTTTATTCGTAATTCATCTTGTGACCTGCAGAGTGCTGTTTTCATGGGTTTGGGTTTTGTTTTGTGTAATAAAGTTTAGGCATGCAGGCTTTGGGGGAGGAGCGCCTCTGGTTACCCTGCTTATTTTGGTTCACTATAGCCAGGTCCTCACCGTTTATCTTGATGTTGTACTGAAATTCTTGACATGTAGCTATGGTGGCACAGGCAGCATGGTACCTTTATAACGACCTTTCAGATCATTTAATCTTGAATCCTACCTGAAAGAGCATCCATCTCGTGTATTCTTAAGGGCTTCTGTGGTCCTGAGGTAAAAACTAATCAAAATGTTATGGTTTGATGGGTTGTACAACTAGAAATTGGTCTAAAAAAAGTGAAGGGTGTGGATTCTATCTTTCTGTTTTTCTTTCTTTCATTCCTTGTTAGTTTTACATATTTTGACTTGCAAAACAAAACTATAAAAACAAGCGCCCTTCTGTGACTCAAATAAACTCAAATGCCTTCGTTAGCTGAGTTTTTAAGCATTTCAGTATTGACAGTTTGCCTGTAAAGCAGGGAATGCCGGCCAAGATGTTGCTGTAGTGCTTGTCTCCGTCACAGAGATCCTGGCATGCATACAGGTATGCTCTGGTGGCCCTGTGCTTTGTTATCTGCTTCACAGAACTGCTATGGGGTTCCCTGCTAGAAAATACAGTGGGGAAACTTAAGTATCTAAAAAAAAAAAAACCAACCCCAAATCACTGTAGAATCTCACTCGGCACAAACTTCTGTTGGCAATCAGTATTCCTTCTGAATTCCTAATTATGTAAGTACTGAAAACTTAGAGCCATAACTATAATTCAACAAAAACTGTTTCCCATTATCAGAAATAAGAACGTTGCTTTCATTCACTGCAGTCCCAAAGCACTTCTATAAGCTCTGCTGATTTAGGTGAGTACTCGACAGTCAAACCTCATTTCCTTGAATGAAGCCGGGAATAAGAAAGTCATTCAGTTGGCGGTGCTTGGGGTAAACTGAGATTACTTTTTTTTAATGCGCTGGTACGAATGAACATACTTGATTTCTCTGCTAAACAAGGTTTGACATATTTAGAGGTTGGTTTATACCCCACAAAAATAGGAGTAACTAACCATGCAGCAAGCGGAGGCAAGAGGAGGCGCGCAGAGCTGAAGGTAGAGCTGAAGTGCATGGGACGCGGCTGCTCACGTGCAGCATGGCCAGGGCAAGGGGTTAACGCTCCTCCTCTTTCACGAGGTGCCGAGGGATTTTTAATCAAGTCGTGTTCTTTAGCGTGATAAATCGGATGGAACTGGAGGAAAACCTATTTTCCCCATCTCACAACTTCACGTGCAAAGTTTAATTCAAGAGCAAGTATCTCCTTTGTTTGACTTCTTTGCCTTTTTTTAAACTTACGTGAATTCTACTTTTGAAAGCTTTCTTATTGCTTCCGATTTGAATTTTTAAGGTATACACTTTGCAAAGGAAAAATAGGAAAAATGTCCTCTAATGATATTTAATAAAATTTTGTATTTGGGGCAGAAAATATTATTTTTAGGATTTTGTTCATCACCGTGAATATTTTTAATTGATGGGTGGACTGGGAAAAGTTCTGTTCTTCTTCCAGTCGCTCGGGTTAATCTGTGGGTTTGAACGTTTAAGTAAACTGTCAGGTTTCATCTCTGTCCATCAGCTTGGGTTGAGTGTGAGTTAATATATATTATAAAATCTTCCAGTAAATATTTGATTTCAGATGGTTCATACTCGGTAGAGCAAAGTTAATCTGGTTGTGAAACAGGTCAGCAAATCCTGGGTGGAAAGCTGAGCCTGACATCTCTCCATGCTACACTGTGATGCCAGCTCTATGGGCAGACTGTTCCTTCTCCCTCACAGTGCCATGAGCTGGACATTCATAGTATTTAATTTGAAAATAATAAATATCCTTGTTTTCCACACTGATTCCTTGCTCTTCTTAAGGAATGTTTGGGATTTTTGTTTTCAAGGTGCACTGAGGTTTGCTGGCCAAGCTTTGAGTGCATCATATCAGGATCTGAGAATTGAAGCAAGTACACTGAAATCAAAGGGACTTTACTCTTTGTTATTACCACAGGGAAAACAAATCTCCTGTTATGTATATTTCAAATAATTGAGTTTTTCATAGATGAACTATATATGAAATTCACCATTGGCTTTTGGGGTAAAGCAGAAAAAGAAATTGGGAGCTTGTCAGCACTGTTTGACTGGCTGGGACGTGCGCTTCGGCTTGCTCGCTGTGTGTCTTGTTGCTTGAGTTTGCAGGGGGTTGGCTCACCTCCTGCTACTTTGGTGCTAGAAGTCGCCTCTCCCCTCTCCTCACCGCCTTTTGATACCTTTTTTTTTACCCCACCCGTCTCTATAGCATTTATTTTTAATGTTACAAAAAGCCTAGATCCGTTTTGCTGCATTGATCTTAACCAGAGGAGCTTGGCTGGCCACCTTTAATTGAAAAGAAAGAAATCATAAACCCTTGGGCTACTGGGTTCTGAATTGCGTTGAACAGAAAAAAACAGCTGTAGGCATTACCTTGTACACAGGGAAGAAACTCTCTTGCTTGGCTTATTTGGCAGTTACAAAAATTACCACGGTTGGAAATTAATGTGTCTGCCATTAATCAGCAATATTTTCAGTTTAGTAACCAGAATTTCCCCTGCTGTTCCTACCTGGGAGCAGAATTAAACCTTCTGTTGCAAGCGCCCGGGTGAACACCCAAGTAGCCGGTGCTGTGAATTGCACCGAGAATTCTGCAAACTTCCAGCAGCTAAGTTTGTCATTTGATGCCTTTCCTTCCCCAAATCCTTGCTTCCATCTCCCCGCTGTCCTAACCCTCTCAGGGCGACCCTGCTCTAATAATCACAAAGTGCTATGATTTAATCGGACACGATCGATGCGCTCTTTCTAAAGCAGAGCAGGCTCAGTTCTGCTTCCCGTCCTGGCGCGTGTGAGACGCTGTGCTCTCTCGTTGGGGCCATCTGCCTTGCATAATTGCTGTTATTTAACAGCAATTTTATTACTCAATCCTACTTCAACTCTCTTAATCCCCCTGCTCTAATGGGCTCCCTGCTCTCCTCAGCAAAACCGGAGGAGAAATAAAAAAGCCAAAATGTTTCTAAAAGAGGAGGCGGGAGGAATCGGGGAGAAGATGAGAAACGGTTTGTTGAGTTGTTTTTGAATCCCTTCCTCCCTCGCCAGTCACTCAGGTTGCCTCCCGCTCCCTTCTGCGGTTAAACGGCCGGCCCCGGGAGGTGGTCCACGCTGACAAGTTCTGCATTTTCTGAAATACAGTATTGACAAAAATATCCTCCCTTTATCCAAGGGCCAGCAGCTTTGGAGGTAGGCAGGGGCAAGGTGGAGGGGAGAGGTTTGGCTTTTTCCTTTGAATTTTTAATTTTCTTTTTTTTAATTTTTTCTTTCAATTTTTATAAACCTTATGTCTTGTTTGTACCTGACTATGTTTTGAAATCGTCTGTAAGCATCTGGGTGGATTACATCTGGTTTGGGTTCTGCCTGAGCTTCCTTTGAGTTCCGTTAAATGGATCATTATAATGAAACGGGGAGCTTTTCTGGCACGTTCTGTCTCAGAATTTCAAAAAAAAAAAGTGTACCTCCACACTTTCCACCTCTGACATTTTCCTACATTTTCATTGACATTTTCTTGCGTGGCAAAAGGCTGAGTGCACCTTAGTGTTAGTGAAAATATTTTTTTCCTGTTCTACTTTTTGGGAAAGTTATTAATCTTTTCTGCCAGAAAATCAACTTTTGTAGGAATTAGAACCTTTGACCTCTGTGAATGCCTTTGCACGGACGGACAGTTTTCCATGCTGATTCCTTTCTTTGAGCAAATACTCACCTGGCGCTGATAAAGCTTCGTAGATAGTAAGTGGGTGAGTGTTTTGAGGAAGGTTTTCTGCGTGTGGTTTTGCTGTTGTTTTTACCTGGGTCATTTCGCTGATCCAATTCACAGTACGGAGCTCTGTGCTGTACAGAAATTAGCCTGACGAGGGATGGCTCTCTGCTGGGATTCGAGCTCCCTCCAGGCTTTTGGCTCTGAGTCCCTCTAAATCTTTGCTGCTTTAAGCAATGCGCAGATTTGGGCAAAATAGAGCTATAGAAACCCTTGGCTGGAGTGTTGCTCTTTGGAA